TTCGATTTGCAAATAACAGTAAACGAATAAAAAAATATTCAGCAAAATAGAAAATAAAACGGCACATTAATCTGAGTGCCTTCAAATGAGATATCACGCTAGAGACCAGAGGCAAACGGGTAGTGACGGAGGCTGAAACCCCGGGTAGGGGACAACTCACAATGTGACGTAAATCAGTCAAGCTTAAAAGTGCTTGGCTGTTAAAGTACAAACATATCCGCAGGCACGTGCACAAGGCCTGTCGTTTGTCTTGAACCGTTAACCTTTCATTAGACGGAACACGGGCGCAAAGCGTGGATAGTATAACAAACATGTTTTTGGTGTTGAAAGTTAAGGCGTCAATGTTGATTACTTTTGGAGCTGATATTTAAAACGTTAAAGCGTATTACGTACATGAGTATAGTGCATATATTAAAAGTTCAATGTACATATTTGGTGATAATATTGAAACCGTCAAAATGTATTGTCAGGTACATGATTATAGTGATATTTGAAGCGTCAATATGTATTACGTACATGAGAATAGTGATATTTGAAAGCGTCAATATGTATAACGTACATGGGTATAGTGATATTTGACTCGTCAATATGTATAACGTACATGGGTATAGTGATATTTGAAGCGTCAATATGTATTACGTACATGAGTATAGTGATATTTAAAGCGTCAATATGTATAACGTACATGGGTATAGTGATATTTGAAGCGTCAATATGTATTACGTACATAAGTAGTGATATTTGAAGCGTCAATAAGTATTACGTACATGAGTATAGTGATATTTGAAGCGTCAATAAGTATTACGTACATGAGTATAATGATATTTGAAGCGTCAATGTGTATTACGTACATGAGTATAATGATATTTGAAGCGTCAATGTGTATTACGTACATGACTTTGGTGTGTATATTTAAAAGTCTCAGTTTGTATCGCGTACACAGTTTTAGTGGTCATGCTTGTAACGTTGTTATTCAAAGCGCCTATGTGTATTTGGGAAGTGAAATATGTACACGTGTTATTCAAAGAGGAAATGTATTTGGTGTGCATGAATTAGGTGCTGATATTTATAGTGCTATTGTGTTACGCAAATGATTTGAATATGGATGTAAATAGTGTTAATGTGTTCTGATAGTTACATAGGTAGTGTGTGTGTGTTATCAGTGTGTACAAACAAATGCGTCGTCATGTTTCTATGATATTTGAATATCATTGAAGTGACCCGTCAATGTGACCAAGAAAGAATATGTCTACTGTAATGTGAATTTCACTTCCTGTTATTTTCAAAAAAATGACAAAGTAAATAATGCCATGTGTTCCGAAAAGGTAAGCGTCTTCTGCTTCATCGACGACACTCGCCATATAAATCTTGGTCAATCTGAGTAAGAAATGTCACGTTCTCAAATGAGAACAAGGTAAACCACAATGGAACCACTAGATTGAACATCAAACACATATTTGTGACATGACAATAAAGTAATATTTCACCACACCTTGGACATCCAATTGGTCCCAGCCTGTGACTGAATTGTTTTTGTCGGTCCTGAAACAGTCAACGACCGCACAACTACTATACATGTGTTGTAGCCGTAGAGGAATAATATGATAAAAGAAAACGTATTCAATCAAAACCACACGGATATTATACAATACAAGTGAAAGTTTCCACCACAGCTTGATCACAACAATGGTTTCATTATGTCGCCTGACTAGGAACATTGGTCGCACTGATAGACCCTTCTCTCGGAAATGTCAGATGTTGTGATGACGAGTCTTGAGGAATGCTACATTGTATTGTTCTTATATCGGTCACTGTGAATTAATCGACAAATTTATCGATCTGATGAAACTGAGCAGCTTGTTATCTAACAGAATAATCTGTGTTATTGACCACTGTAATATACCTCGTTTTAGTCCTGAGGCAACATCTTCATTCTCAAACAGCCCACCAATTATCATCCTAAATACGCCTGCTATATTTCCCTAACTGGTACAGTTTTCTATACAGGAACAAACAAGGGCCGTCAGTGACGGGCTCTTCTCTCCGAATGGGGACAAAATTTAAGTATTAAAAGTAACAAATGGCAATAACTACTTAACTATGCAAAAGAGAGTGGTGCTTCTGCTGCACTTCACTTCTCCTTGTTGAGATTTTTCTACCATGAAGTTTCATGTTGATACTTCTTACAGTTTGAGTGTAATGCTCCGGACAACCTTTAAGTATGAAAACTAACAAAGGGCAATAACTCCTAAATTATGCAGAAGAGAGTGATGGTTCTGGTGCACTGCTCTTCTGCTTGTTAAGGTATCTCTACCTATGAAATTCAATGTTGATACCTCGTAAAGTTTAGGTGTTATGATCTGGACAAAATTATGACGGACGGACGGACGGCTCGACGGACAAAGTGGCGAGTGTATGCTCTGTCTTCGGGAAGCATAAATATACCCGAACAGCCATAATCATTTTGTCTAATCCGTCGTAGCCCCTCTACCCGACAGCTCTATCGACTAATCTATCGTGGTTCCTCTACCCGACAACTCTATTAACTAATCTGCCGTGGCCCCTATACCCGACAGCTCTACCAATAATCTGTCGTGGCCCCTCTACCCAACAGCTCTACCGAATAACCTGTCATGGCTCCTCTACCCGACAAATCTACCGACTAATCTATCGTTGCCCCTCTACCCGACTAATCTACCGACTAATCTATCGTTGCCCCTCTACCCGACAGCTCTATTGACTAATCTGTCGTGGCCCCTCTACCCAACAGCTCTATTGACTAATCTGTCGTGGTCCGTCTACCCTACAGCTCTACCAATAATCTATCGTGGCCCCTCTACCCGACAGCTCTACCGAATAACCTGTCATGGCTCCTCTACCCGACAAATCTACCGACTAATCTATCGTGGTTCCTCTACCCGACAGCTCTATTGACTAATCTGTCGTGGCCCCTCTACCCAACAGCTCTACCGACTAATCTATCGTTGCCCCTCTACCCGACAGCTCTACCAATAATCTATCGTTGCCCCTCTACCCGACAGCTCTACCGACTAATCTATCGTGGCCCCTATACCCGACAGCTCTATCAATAATCTGTCGTGGCCCCTCTACCCGACAGCTCTACCGAATAACCTGTCATGGCTCCTCTACCCGACAAATCTACCGACTAATCTATCGTTGCCCCTCTACCCGACAGCTCTACCAATAATCTATCGTTGCCCCTCTACCCGACAGCTCTACCGACTAATCTATCGTGGCCCCTATACCCGACAGCTCTATCAATAATCTGTCGTGGCCCCTCTACCCGACAGCTCTACCGAATAACCTGTCATGGCTCCTCTACCCGACAGCTCTACCAATAATCTATCGTTGCCCCTCTACCCGACAGCTCTACCGACTAATCTATCGTGGCCCCTATACCCGACAGCTCTATCAATAATCTGTCGTCCCCTCTACCCGACAGCTCTATCGACTAATCTGTCATGGCTCCTCTACCCGACAGCTCTACCGATTAATCTATCGATGCCCCTCCACCCGACAGCTCTACCGACTAATATATCGTGGTCCCTCTACCCGACAGCTCTACAAACGAATACTGATTGGATGGCAAGTTTTCCGTCTCCGTGACTCTAACAAATACAATGTACACACCTTAAGAATTACTGAAAAAGCGTAGAATAGTCTGCCACTTCTACATACAGAAAACTGCTAAGACATTTCCACAGACAAATATGAAAAAGAGCTAATATACAATACAGGCTAACACAAGTACTTTACAACTAAGAAATGTACATCAATGCAGAGAGAATATAATACAAATAATACAAAGCTTAAAGAATAATTTACAAACAAATATAGACTTTCAGTGAAAAAAATCGTATGCTTCGTATGTGGAGAAATGTGTTACAGTGGTGGGTTTATGTCGATAGAATCGTCGGGCGGTCTTACCTGATTCTGCCGTTTATATACTATCTGGCTGAAGGTCTCGAGTCCCCTCAAGGCGCCCCACACATCGATAGCTCTCAAGAAGATCCCAAACGGCTTAACCAATAGCGAATCTAAGAAATAAAAAGTTATATTCTATAAGTTCATATCTGGATTGAAAGCCAGTTTCATTTTATAACATTCATGTATATGAAAGTTCAGCGGATACATCCATATGGCATGAAGACTTATGAAAGTCACTTTCTTGTATTCTTCACATAGTGGATTGCACCGCAAATGTGAATCTAAACGCATGTTACATACATATTCTATTTTGTCATCTGCCAGCAGTTCAATCTTGGCATCTTCGTGTATTTCGATTTCCCATTTTTTATTTTTTATTTTTTTAGTTTTAAAACATTTTCAGAGACAAAGGGATTCTTTACGATTCACCGATACAATGTAGTTAAACGAAAATTAAAACCAGATTTAAAAAAAACAACAAAAGCTTAAGTATTTTTCTCCAAATATTCGTCAAGCACTTCGTGTTATCGGTGACTATGGCTAGAATTCACTTCAGAAAGAAAGTTAGGAAAATTTAAGTTTAAATCTATTTGAAAACAAAATGATCCTGGCGATCATGACGTAGTGTTGGGCATAGCTCTATGCTTTTATTCACTGGCTGATTTTGGTATTTCTTTACAGCATAGTAACATCAATGGAGTCTTCAGCGGTATATATATATAAATGTTTAGTGACATACGTGGTGTCCAAGTTTCTAGGACGTCGAGCCGAACGTTTTGTCCGTCCGTTCTGAAGTCAATACAGGTACATGCACGTGGTATTTTGTTTCATGCTATCTTTTATCAAATAAAAACACAAACAAGAAACAAATCGGTCTGCATGCGCCTTTGTCTTTGAAACAGGAAAAATATAGAGCCATTGCATACATAGGAAGATTTCTGAAAAAAGCGATTTCCCGTATAATAGTGTACATATTTCACGAGTAGGATAGAATATAAATATTTTCCACAGGTCGATCCGAACATTACTGCAGTTCTCAAAATTAGTTTTTAATTGAAATTGATATATACAGATCGCTGTTTCGTTTAATGGGAAAATGTTACAAAAAATGGTGTTTTATTTTCCCAATAAAACATTTGTATACATAAATTCTGCTGACATAAGCACATAATTGCTACCGCATACCATTGAATATGGAGAATGTACACACATATATTCAGGAGTTAGGCGAGGAATGTGTTTATTATATGCCAGCATTTAATTGCTGATCATAAAAATACTCCTACTCACAAGTTTCGTTGGAAGACTCGTGCATTTGACTTGAGCAGGTTTCTTTAAGCACCACTGACATCCACGTAATGGGCGTGGCATCTTCGTGAATTTTTCTCAAATTTAGAATGTCTTTATCAAATCCACCATTTTTCAAATATTTCAAATTGTCATAATTTTCTTCGGAAGCGAATTTAAATACGGAATCTTTGTAACGTTGGATAGCTTTCTCTAAAATAACACACGAATAATTCTCCACCTTGATATTGAATGAGTGCGGATCAATTCGGTACACTTGTTCTTTGTTTGTCCGGTAGGTCTGTGGTAAAGGCCATGGCTCCCCGTGTGTGGCACGAGGAGCTCTCCTGAGTTTGAAGGCTGGACCACCAATATTTTTAAACTGAAGACTGAAATCTGTATAGTCCCATTCAATTGAAACGTTCCGTTCGATGTCTCTCTGTGTCGGCGTATGAAAACGTTGTTGTCTAATTTTTCCTGGACAAAAATGAAAAGCACATATCACATTATACAGGTGTGATAGTACACAGTATATATGTATCTTGTAACAAGTAAACAGCCAATCTAAGACATTTGCAATAATATTCTAAAGAATGCCTTCAAGTAAAACGTTTCTATAATATTGCAGGCTTAGCATTATCAAACACTGAAAAATATACGACAAATATAGCATGTTCTTAGCGTTTAGACGTTCATGTGTAGGTATATGTTTGTTCACAAAAAATATGAAATTACCGATACGTCAACACAAAGCAAACTCGATGACATGAGGGCAAATTATGAACAAAGACTGATACGATAACACAACATACACGTACATGAAAGTACGACCAGGTGTTTCAGAACAATAAGGTACTCTGCTTCACTAATGTTCCCCGATTGTTACCAAAAGTAAAGTTTAGTGCTAAGTAACCGCAATGTAAGACAAAGACCTACTTGAATTGAATATTACACCATCTCAGTACCCATCACAACAAACCCTTTCCTACTTAACGTCTTGATACAGTGAGAACATCTGAGAGGTGCATAGCGGAATATATATGGGCGACATGTATTTATTTAATACTCCTGTGTGGAATACGGAGTGTTGATGCACACATTTCCAAAATCTATCAGGTTACTTTGAATATAGCAAGGACGGTATTCACTTACGTATATCTATTTTGGTTCTGTTATATTTCAATGAAGAATAATTGCCCCTCCTGGGCCCCGCTACGTACACTGGCGCCTCTTTGTAGACGTTGTAAGGATAAACGCCGACAAGAAGGATAACAAGCCATGCTGGAGTAACGGCGGAGCTGGCCATCCTCAACTTTCACATTCTGGACCTGATTTTGTACAGAAAAACAAAAGACCAATGAGACAAAATATTAATGGTAAAAATAAGGTTATGTAAAGTCTTGGTAGTGACTGTCGTCGGCTGAAACGGTTAAATGTCACACAAAGGTACCGACCATTAAAATCACAGAGCTAGTTACGCCGAGATCAGATGGAATACCCGGCCCAGTGTACATCTCTTACCAGTAAGTACCAGTAACAAGTGGTAGACTGGCACTAACATTCCAACAGACACAGATATAGACGTTGTTCTATATCATCAATACCAATGTTCATACTTATTATCATTATCAAATTATTCCGAAGAACTTTTGATGAATGGACACCTAATTACGTTAATGAGAGAATGCGCTATATATGATACAACAATCATGATTTACCAACTACATTTTTAAGATCATGCGATGATATAACAGCTTAGATCGTACGATGATATAACAGTTAAGACACGATGATATAACAGCTAAGATCGTACGATGATATAACAGTTAAGATCGTACGATGATATAACAGTTAAGATCATACGATGATATACCAGTTAAGATCGTACGATGATATAACAGTTAAGATCATGCGATGATATAGCAGCTAAGATTATATGATGATATAACAGTTAAGATCGTACGATGATATAACAGTTAAGATCGTACGATGATATAACAGTTAAGATCGTACGATGATATAGCAGCTAAGATTATATGATGATATAACAGCTAAGATCGTTCGATGTGTAACAGCTAAGATCATATGATGATATAACAGTTAAGATCATACGATGATATAGCAGCTAAGATCGTACGATGATATAACAGCTAAGATCGTACGATGATATAGCAGCTAAGATTATATGATGATATAACAGTTAAGATCGTACGATGATATAACAGTTAAGATCGTACGATTATATGATGATATAACAGTTAAGATCGTACGATGATATAACAGCTACGTTCGTACGATGATATAACAGTTAAGACCGTACGATGTGTAACAGCTAAGATCATACGATGATATAACAGCTAAGATCGTACGATGATATAACAGTTAAGATCGTACAATGATATAACAGTTAAGATCGTACAATGATATAACAGTTAAGATCGTACGATGATATAACAGCTAAGATCATGCGATGATATAACAGCTTAGATCGTACGATGATATAACAGCTAAGATTATATGATGATATAACAGTTAAGACCGTACGATGTGTATATAACAGCTTAGATCGTACGATGATATAACAGTTAAGATCGTACGATGATATAACAGCTTAGATCGTACGATGATATAACAGCTAAGATCATGCGATGATATAACAGCTAAGATCGTACGATGATATAACAGTTAAGATCGTACGATGATATAACAGCTAAGATCGTACGATGATATAACAGCTAAGATCATGCGATGATATAACAGCTTAGATCGTACGATGATATAACAGCTAAGATTATATGATGATATAACAGTTAAGACCGTACGATGTGTAACAGATAAGATCGTACGATGATATAACAGCTTAGATCGTACGATGATATAACAGTTAAGATCGTACGATGATATAACAGCTTAGATCGTACGATGATATAACAGCTAAGATCATGCGATGATATAACAGCTAAGATCGTACGATGATATAACAGTTAAGATCGTACGATGATATAACAGCTAAGATCGTACGATGATATAACAGTTAAGATCATGCGATGATATAACAGCTAAGATCGTACGATGATATAACAGCTAAGATCGTACGATGATATAACAGTTAAGATCATGCGATGATATAACAGCTAAGATCGTACGATGATATAACAGTTAAGATCATGCGATGATATAACAGCTAAGATCGTACAATGATATAACAGCTAAGATTATATGATGATATAACAGTTAAGATCATGCGATGATATAACAGTTAAGATCGTACGATGATATAACAGTTAAGATCGTACGATGATATAACAGCTTAGATCGTACAATGATATAACAGCTAAGATTATATGATGATATAACAGTTAAGATCGTACAATGATATAACAGCTAAGATTATATGATGATATAACAGTTAAGATCATGCGATGATATAACAGTTAAGATCGTACGATGATATAACAGTTAAGATCGTACGATGATATAACAGGTAAGATCATGCGATGATATAACAGCTAAGATCGTACGATGATATAACAGTTAAGATCGTACGATGATATAACAGTTAAGATCGTACGATGATATAACAGCTTAGATCGTACAATGATATAACAGCTAAATTCATATATTCAAACATGATAATAATATAACATATGATATATATGCCACAGTTATAGAATTACTAAAACCATGTTTATTCCGGATGTAAGGTTTTCCTCTCTGGAAGTTCTTGGGAGCAACCATAGCTTACTCTCTAGTAACTACCAAAAATAGAGTCGAATCTAGAATGGGTTATGTATGCCATCTCTTGTTTTCCCTTTATAACACGATGTGGTTCAGACAGTAAAGGTCATGTCATACAAAGCATTGTTCAAAAAAAAGAAGATATGCTGTTGAATAAATTATTTAAAGAAAATATATTCGTATACATAGCTCACAAATCAGTGATCATGTTTTCAAACTAACGTATTCCAGTATCACTAAGATGTTGGTAATAAAATGGCGCTATGAGACTTTCATTCCCACTAAATGGTAAGCGTATCTCTGTTAAAAAATAATGAGATGACGACAACCGTGTCAGCATCACGTGGTTCTCCTGTAACATCCTGTCTCATGCACTTGTTTTCCCGTGCATTGTGTCATGATTAATGGCGCCATGTTCCTGTTCACACATCTTTTCTCTCGCCTGCTCATTGTCTTTGTTTACATCCCTTTCTAACCCCGTAACCTTGAACAGCATTTGTACTCGTGCAGTACATTGGATTACAATACATATCGCAGCCATGTGCCAGCAAATCTCGGCACAAGCTCTTTCGAAATGTCGAACTCCTTTGATGGCGACAAATTTGTCAACATCCTCGTGTCAGTCTCGATGACTTCCAGATTTGAACTCTTTTTGTCTCAGAAAAGTGCATCAGACATTCATGTGTATGTGTATATACATAGATACAGCAATATGTACAAACTTTTATAAACACCGAGGGAGATTTTCTCGCTTGTTTTCTATAATTCCCGCTGACCAGGGAGTGTATCCATCACGTGCCCTACCGACCCTTCATGTCGTCACAGATTGGTACAGACTAGGGTTGATTCCATTGTCAGCTGCACTTTTGTATGTTTCTATAAAAGAAACACACGTTCTCTATTTCTCGAAAAAAATATTGAATCGTATTTTAACATTCACACTGAGGTAAACTTACAAAAGCAGTAAAAATCAAGCCTTCCTGTTTCCGTGAAGAGCCCAGATGTAGTATTATATTACGCTTGAATTAAGCACCAACTTCCCGAACACTGGACGGAGATCATTCACGCAGTGGTCAGTAGCTAAACATACAAACTGCCTGCCTAGTTTGTTTATCATCAGATGGTCAAGGTTTCCTGCCGGGGTGTATGGACTGATCGCCTTAGCGATAGTGGTGTTATCCTCCCCGCTGAGCCTCAGTAACTGGACGTGGCAAACATACCCCTCTTATACACACACGTACTTACTGTAATCGTTTACAAAAGAAAATATCCTTTGATTTCTACATGTCATGTAGTTATCTAGGTCCTTGCTGTCACTAATTTTACTTTGAAGTATATGAAAGTAAAGTTAAAAATATTGTTGCTAATGTGACGTAATATAACCTAAAAGTGTTCAGTGTCATTCAGTCCATGATCATTTTAATTCAGTGAATATTGGTGATGTATGTCAAGAGTAACAACACTCAACTACCCCTAACCTCAACCATGAAACAAATCGCTAAAGTTTACAATTGAGAGTGGCACCGACTGGACATTAATTATGCAGAACAAAATCACACTTTTGATAAGACGCCTTAATTATAGCTGTATCTGTCAGTTTCTGGTTATCCTTGTTGTATATAGTCGCCAGGATCATCTGCCCACTAGCCCAGCAGGTAGGGCGTAAGAATTGTTCAACATTACATGGCCGTATATTTCGCTGCACCACACTACAACTGTGGTATTTTATATAACTCCTTTCCTCACCTAACCTGCCACAATTACCTAACGCAAGTCAATTTTCTGCTCCTGTCAAAAATAGATACGTAGACTTTTTTATGGATATATATATAATATGATTAAATCCGATGTATCTACAGACATATATAACGGAGCGTTATCAGTTCTCCTACTCTTCCGGGAGAGTAGTTAGTACCTACTGTTAATTATTAATTAGATATGTATTAAGGACATATTATTTATAGTCTTGCAATGTGTTCCTATATATTTATTATAAATATGTGATGAAGCAGAACAGGGTTTATTTTTTCAATATATATTTATATATAATCTCTTAATTATCCCTTCTATCAACGTCTCTTGGAATCGTCAGGTATAGGTGAGAGAATGCAGGTTTGATTTCCCTTCGGAAATATATACTCATACTCGTCATTCCAGAATGGACAGGATTGCTCCCTGAAGGTAGAAACACCATATGCTTTTCCAATAAACAACATGACCTCCACCACCTCTGTATGTCAGAATGGCAAGGTATTCGAGACCACGTTGTTACAGCACTGCAGGGCTGAAGTTATCACGAGTTAGCACACATTTTGTACACCAACAAAGGGATACAAACCTGTACATCAGCCCACAAATGAGCCCAGGTAAATCTCTTATTACATGTATCTCAAATAATTAATGACAATCAAGCTACTACTGTGGTAGTGGAATATTCAGTGTTCAGCCAGGCTTTCACAGATATATTACTGGAATGAGTTTGTACATCAAATTTCACACATTTTTCTACACCAAATAAACATTAAGGATTAGCATATATACCTAGGCACACAAAGGCAAGTCTAATAAAGGTATGTTGCATTTCCAAGCATCAGAACAAAGCATGATCTGTGTTTACCATGACTACATTGGTGCTGGAAGTGAAATGTGATTTAAATCTGTATTTCACTGACCACGACAAGGAATGACTTTTGAAACGAAACGTCTCAAAGAAACGAGGAAACGTCGAGATAAACCTTAATAAAGAAATATCCTGGACCTTATCGTCCGCAATGTTGAAATGGTTGCATCCGTCTGTGTTGGATGAACAGATGATCGTCAGTTATATTTGCTAGGTAAAGCAACGCATTTCTAATATCATAATATCTTCTGGTGTCTTCTAATGACGATACAACTTTACCCCCTATCGTCGATGTGGGGGTATATTTACTGCACAATATACGACCGCAACGAAGTTAAAGGATATACTTAAATAAACATGTCTGTCCTTCTTTATGTAAAAAAGTATGACGCGAACTACTGCTGAAGTTGTTAACCAATTACCATGAAAATGAACCAGAAAGTAAAGGTTTATATGTATATATAAATATATACGTGCATCTGTACTTTTTAGCGGACAATTTTGGTTGCCATGGATACCTGGTTAGTGGTCACTATGCACAGGGTTTTATAAAAAGTGGCATAGCTCATTAGACCCGAGACCAATTTTATTCAAACTTGGCCAAGTAATGTAACTCATTATAACTTATATCATGACACAATATGATGGAAATTTAAAAGGGGCTTCCCATAGGTCAAATTGAATTTCAGTCGAATTCAGCTGATTATTGTATATGTAGATCAAGATACTTGTGAAAAATCACTAGACTATTGAAAAATCTTTTAAGAAGAAATAAATTAATATATCCAGTGGTGAATTTTCTATCATCGAGACTAACATTTCCGATTTTCGACAAATTAATAAAATCACTATTTCTCTAAAAAAAACTCTTTTGATCTCAGATATTAGGTATTGTAACGTGTATCTAATATGATTTTTAAGTTAAATCGACAAAATATCCCGATTTGAAAGATTATTGAACGGAATATATATTTACCTGTTGTTTTCTTTCCCAAAAGTTTCAAAATCAACATGGCACAACCACGGACCAAAGTGTAACCTACATAATTCTAAATCTATTTTAATCGAATCTAAAAATACATACAATATTTCTCACGAAACAACAACAGACAGCAATAGCAAACGTTTTCTAATCAGTCTTAAAAACAACACTGCCCAACTAGGTACATTGTACTATGGGCAGCTTACACACGAAATTTGAGAAAAAGATCCATCTAGGACTTCTCAAGAAATAGTGATGACAAACATTCATTGTTAAAACCCAAGATGGCCGCCTTTCAGCCATTTTGTTTAGGACACATTTAAGGACAATCATCAAAGACGGCCGCAGTCATTTTATTATTCTGATTAGTCCAAAACTCCAATAGGCCAGAACTAGAGACCAACGGGAATCTACATAAACAGAGGTAACAAGATTTGTTAAAGGACTGATTGACCATGGACAGAAACGTGATCTGAAAAGCCCACAATGATGGTGGACTAAAATACACATACAACGATTCTAACAACAGTTTTGACATTAAATTATTTAGCATTAATCCATTAAGAGTCTAGTTTCCAATTAAGTCGAACGCAAAACTGCAATTATATCTATATGTACATCAACATTAACGGCCAAGGAAACAAAGGTGATTTACCACGAGTAATTAATGACCTTCCTCTACATCCATCATAGTAACAAAAGGTGGCTATTAGTTTTACGGGGGATTATTTTGGAGGAGGGGAGGGTGGGGAGGAGGGGGCATTTTTGAACGGGACTCCTTTATGTTAAAATCTCTGGGCATGTCAAACTGTCTACAGGACTTTTGTCCTACAATGATCTGTACATGTCGGATAGAGGGAGACATGGAAGTTTTCTAGGATACATGAGATGTTTACAAGATGTTAGTAAAACTTGAAGGAGATTGGTCAGTTCCTACATTTTTTCATCATGTGTGTGTTACACGCGATTGTGTACGATACCTGTCAGACAGAATGTCTGTTTCATTTATATCCGACATTAAGAACTAAGTCGTGTTTTGTTTATAATCATACCTACAGAGGACACACCTGTATTGATGTAAAGGAAGATATGTATATACATAGCGGGACATCTCTGTAGGATATGTACATTGTACCTACAAAGCATACGTACACATACCTGTACACAAGTGATACAAAGGAAAACACTATTTCATTTGTACATTGTAGTACATTTGTATAAATTATATTTACTTTGTAGTAAACAGTACGTGTAAATGTATACAAAATTAAGTATAGAGCGACAGAGGAAACTAAACAAAAATACATACCAAAATATACATTACATGACATATGGGAAAGATTAGGCATTCAAAAGTTGTAAGGAAATAGTGTCAAATTTCTAGACAGATGTTTTTACTTCTACCAACAGTTAAACCTACACGTATATAGGATGTTACAATGGTGTTTGTGTTCAAAATACTTGTCTGGCAAACTAGGACTAGTCAAAAAAGTTAAAAAATATTAATTTCGTTGATATTATTAATCTTTTAATTCGAAAATGATAAATGTTTTCGATTTGATTAAGAATGTCTTTTTTTATAATCTGTTAACAATCACGTGTGTAGCTAAAAGCAAACACTGACAATGGTGGTGTTTTTGTGAAGGTTGAATCTTTTCAGGATGTGCGCTACACATTCACCTGATTGTGTCTCCAGTGTAATTACGCTACATAAAAACGTGAAAACTGTCCCCATCGGTTGTCAAGCTTATTGCTGACGGATTGAAACAAAGGGCAGTAACTCTGGAAGACCCGACTTTGGCATGTTTGCTTGGCAGTATTACTACATGTATTCTTTACGGTAAAAGTCCCTCTCACAGGTCAAGTATATTGTTACTTGTGACTACTCCTTTTAAAGTACTCTATATGAATGCTGCAATAAAAAAAGAAGGGCGAAAGTTGGTTGGAGGGCAGGTGGTTATGACAATGACATGAGTATTGATCACCAAGAAAGTGTTCTTCACGTCAGAAATTATCGGATAAAATATCATTTTCGACGTTCCGTCCTCTTTTGTCGTCAGGCGAAATACAGAATCATCAACATTATTTAAAACCAATTGAATTAATGGTTATAACAGAAAAAAACTCCTTGAATGATAAAAATATTTATAGATGATATCAATGTTATAGAACGTATGTACCTTGGACAGTGGTAGCTGTGCTTTTCACTATTATAAACATACGTATTTCTTTAAATTAATGTAATTAGCAGAAATATATAGCGTAGATTCCGTCGATATTACAGGCGAGATACACATATGTGAATTGAAGTATATTTGCTGAAAAACAATACAACCAATTGATCAAAATGGACTGAGAACTAAACGAGAATTCATTTCCAGTGCATTCACATAAACATATCAATATCCTGCATGAATTAGAGCGTTTATGGTCAAGCAAGCAAAATTGGCGACAATTTGACAAAAAACAAAAAAAGGACATTTATATTTTGTTCTGAAAGTGAATCGCCAACAAAATTTATCAATATCAAACATACCTTATCTATAAAAGATCGAAGTCCTCGT